ATACTAAGCTAAGCTGCTGGCTGTTTCTTCGTATTTAGTGGACTGAAATGAGAGTGGTAGGAACCTTCTTATCTAGCTCTCGACAAGAAAGTGTATTTTGAGACATTGTTTTCTCTATGATAATGTTATCTCAAGAAGCTGTCATGTTTATCTGCTCTTTGTGTCTTTGCCTTTCAGCCACCGATATTAATGACGCTGTGCTGAGGGCAGTTAGCATGCTGGTGGAAGAAAGAGAAAATGACAAACTTCCAGAGAGGAGTGTGGATATGATTATTTTACTGACTGATGGGATGCCAAACAGCGGTGAGCCGTCTTAATTTGGAAGATAATATTTCATTCTCAGAGGTCAGAGGTCACTGTATGTAGACCAAGTACAGCAGCTTAAAGCTAGTCTTACATGAAGCTAACAATCTGTGAAGAAAGAAAAGGTAGTCAAAAGGGACTTGTCCTTTAAGATGGAAAAGTTCTCAGTGAATAAAGACTTACTTTTGGAACTTGTGCACATTTATAGAATAGAATTCAAAGTTTTCACACTCACAAACTCTTGAATAAACTTAGTCGTATGTTAACCGTCTTGTTGGAGCTGAAAGGCTTTTCCCATACATAATACATGTATTTATGTGTGTTTGAAGGAGAGTCTGACCTCCTGACGATCCAGGAGAATGTGCATTCTGCTGTTGGGGGGAAGATGACTATGTTCTGTCTTGGATTCGGAAATGATGTGGATTACTCCTTCCTGGATGTATTGTGCAGACAAAACAAAGGACTGGCCCGCAGAATTTTTGAGGGTTCAGATGCAACACTTCAACTACAGGTAGACAACAAAATATGGACTTACAGCAAAGATAATGTCCATGCAAGTTTGTACCTCCAAGAACATTTGGGAAACAGATATTGTATGACGTGCAATGTGTCTTCCAGGGTTTCTATGAGGAGGTGTCCAGCCCTCTGCTCTTGGACGTGGACCTGCGGTATCCTGACAACGCAGTGGACCACTTGACCAAAAACCACTATAGCCAGTTGTTTAACGGATCAGAGATTGTGGTGTCTGGTCGGCTGATAAACAACGACCCTGATAACTTCTTGGTGGAGGTGTTCGCTAAGGGGGTGAGAAATAGACAGCAATATGTATGTATTGTAACCTTGGCTCAGGTAGTTACAGCTAATCAATCAATCAATCAATCAATCAATCAATCAATCGCAATCAAAAATTAGGCCCTATGTTCCCACAGCCCTATGTGGTTAGGAGTTAGGGGGAGAAAGGGGGATACAATCTGATACAAATTTATGAAAAAGGAAATGTGGATAAATAGGGCCTAATTTTGAAAAAAATGCGAGCTAATGATTGATGTACATTAGCTAGCTAGCATTTTACTAACATTAGCTAACTTAAGATTTGACTATACACACACACACAGAGAGCTACTAGTGTTGCTGTAGACTTTTAGTGTTGTTATCAAAATATACCTTTAAATTTCCTCTCATTTCAGTAATATATGCCATTTATGCCAAAGCATATATTGTCATATATTGTCTTCCCACGGTGCCATTAATTCCTGATAAAGGACACCTCGTTGGGCATTATCCCTTATTTAACCTCTCCTCTTTCTCTAGCCTGAAAATGACTACATTGTGCAGGGAAAGGCCAATGTGGTAAACTTGGAAGTTATGTACCCAGAACAACAGTACATCTTTGGGGATTTCTCAGAGCGTCTGTGGGCCTACCTCACCATCCAACAACTACTGGAGGAAAGGTTCGACCATCTGAATTGTCTGTCAGCTTTACCTGCATACTAACCCTGCAGGTTTCAGACTATAAGATAATATAAAGATAATTTTGTGATGCAGACATTGTTATCATCAACAATCAACCAACTCCTGATTCTTATCTCCCAGTGACATTACTACTCATCAGGATAAAGAGACAATGATCGTCAAAGCCCTGGAAATGTCACTGCAATACAGCTTTGTCACGCCTGTCACTTCCATGGTGGTCATAAAGCCTGACACTGAGGATGGACCAAGCAGCCCTCTCATTGCGGATAAACTGACTGAAGGTAAGTGTAGAAAAGGCCAGAACATTATCTGGCAGCTGAAGAGGAAGGACCATAACAGCTGGTACTGGTCTATGTACCCGTTTTTGGACTTGAAGTTTAAGTTATGTGTGATGCCCAAAATGTAAGTCATTTATGCCTGTTATTGGTGTTAATGTCTTGCTATCTGTGGAATTTGTTGGCCATCACTTCTTGCTGTTGCTCTGTTTTTAGTCTATTGCAGATGGATGTTTGCATAGTTTATTGTACAGCCATACATATGTTAATATTTGGGTTGTGTCCTCGTAGTTTGAACCCTGATCTTAGGCTGATTCTAGCAATAATTCATATGTGCTGTACAGAAGGAGTGGGTCCTCTTCCATGGAGGCCTTTATGTTGAACCGCTGTTTCTTCAGTAGCCCAGAGCAGACAAACCAAACACTGGCTGCAGATATGGCCTTTCACGTTTTTTGCAAGTATTGCGGCCACTGTAGTTTCTCCTTCATGGTTGGTTGAATCAAAGGGTTTCATCTGGTTGCGATTGCACTGGTAGAGGCCACTAAATCCTACACACTGGTCCGTTAAAGGGTATTTTGTTATTTATGTCATTTATGCCAATTCTACCTCAACCTTTATTACATGGAAGTTACTGTAACTCCTTTTTATATTGTGTCTAAATGCTGGTGGCATACAATTTAAATACCTATATTTTGCATATAGAGTAATGTAAATTCTATGTACTCAAATAAACTATGGCCTGTTTATTGGTGCATTGAAGCCTAGACTGCTCTAGACTGGCAAGGAGGTGTTTACTGACTAGTGCTGCATGTTGTTACATTATTAGAAACCTCTTGAATCAGTATGTGTAAGTAGAACATGCCCAAAATAACTTATGTTTGCGTATGTTTTCTTGTTTTACAGACCAGCGACAGGCATCACAGAAAGATACGAGTACGACAATCTTTTTCTACTTAATTACATGACATACTTTATGAATCTCATTTTGGAACAACTTTACTGACATATGCTTTTATTATTTTTGATAACAGGTTCCTCCCGGTCAAGTGCTTCCAGTTCCCATAGCCGATCAAATGGTAAGATTTTTCACACAGCATTACATTGACTATTGCACACTGTTATCATATTCAGCCATTCATTGTTCTTGCCACTTTTGCTGAAATCCTCTGTTAAAAGTTTTATTGAAGGGTGTACTATAGCTTACCTGGTAGATTGCCTGCCCCACGTAGGAGGAATCTTTACCACAGTGGCACAGGTTCGATTCTGATTTACAGCCCTTTTTTGTTGCAAGTCATCCCCCCTCGTGTCTATCTGTTTTTATTTGAAACTGTCCTTTCAAATAAAGGCTTAAAAAGAAAAAGGTTTTATTGAGACATAGAAGACTAGATTGATTAAACACAGGAATCATGAATGTGTATTGTTTTTCTCTCTAAAA